CCAGCCCCAGCACACTCCCCTTGATTTACCCCCCTGTGGCTGATCCCCTTCCTCCTGAGTTCACCCCCCATCCCGCCTGGGCCCCCCATGCTTCCTCCCCAGGGTGATGCTTGTTGAGTAGCCCTGACTCTGTCCTTGTCAGTCTCCCTGCAGAGCCCTCCATGCCCAGGGGCAGAGGGTTGGGAAGGGGACAGGATGACCTGGGATGGGTGCTGGGGAGAGGGTTGCTCTCCCTCCACGCAGGGCCTGTTCCTGGAGGAGGGAGAGGTGGTGGTGTGTGCGGGACTTGCTTGGGCTGGGCTAGAGGGAAGCTGAGCAGTCAGCATCTCCTGCAGAGCTCAGCGGCATTTGCAGATGCACAGCACTTCAGCGTGCGTGGCCTCTGCGGTCCCTGTGTCCCTTCTTGTGAAGAGCCAGCTCTATAAATGGATAACTCCTGTAAACAATTCCTCTCCCCCTGCGGCGCTGGGAGCCCTTGTGTCCTGCTGGTTGCAGAGCATCAGCTGGGCACTGTGTGCCGGGTCGAGCCAAGGGTCTGGGGATGATATTTCCAAGGAGGTGGGCAGTGCTGACCTGCCTGAACGCAGAGCTGCTTCGCAGTACTGCCAGGGAGCATTGTGCCTCTTCTTCCTGAGGTGGGGGGAGTTGTTTACAAAGCGACAGCCTGTGTCTCAAACGGCTCAGAAATTCATCCGGGGATGAGAGTCATTCATTTTTGGCTTCATTTTCAAGCATTTTTCAAGCTGTCACAGCTTGGCAGGTCTGTAGCTGCAGTGTCAAGATTTAGAATTATTCTGTCGGTAATTGCTTTCTGATTCATCAAAATGATAGATGAGAGGGAAAATGACAAATAATCACAAGTTGGGGATCTTCAAGGATATCCCTAAAAATGTGACTGGAGAAGTGTGGCATGTGCGAGTCCCTTGTCAGGAGGTCACCTTTGCTGTCAGAGCATTTACAAAGAAATTCTCTTAAATTCAGAGTTGGAAGAAAACCTGGATAACTGGAAAACAAGTCCATGAGCCAAACTGCAAAGGTAGTTTTAGATAATTCAGTCTTTGGCCTTTTTTGCTGAGCCTGAAAGCAGGTATCATCACCTCAGGTACTAGCAACTGTCCTTTCCAAGAGTGCTAAAAGCAAAATACAGCTTCTGTGCTTAACTTCCCTACCTGAAGAGGGGGGGTGCGCTCTGATGCATGTTTGTTCCCTCAGCTATACCAGCTTGTCTAATAAAAGCTATTATCGCTCTGCTACTCATAGCTTCAGACTAGCACAGCTACGAGTGATCTCTTACTTGTCTTGTTCCCTTAGTTACATTTATAGAGACTTTCTTTGCCACAAGTCCCTTCATTTTCAGAAGCGTTGTGGGAGTTGTGTGGTTACATCTCTTACATCTTTTTTTTTCCTTTCCTTTGAATGTTGAAGGTAGGTGACTCATCATAACTCCAGCCGATATTTCTCAGTGATCTCTTATTTAGCACAGTGCATCAAGCAGATGTATCGCAGAGTCAGAGGAGAGCTGGTGATACCAGCGTGGATTTAAAAAAAAAAAAAAAAAAAAAAGACACAGTTGCTTGTTGCTGTTGTTTCAGTGGTAAAAAGGTTTACAGGCTGTCTCTCCACAACCAGAGTGACCTCTGCGTAGGCCTATGTACTGGAGGTGCGGGCCTCTCCACTGCTCCTCCCCGTCGTCATGCCAAAACGCCTGTCTGTGTAAGTGCTTTTTTATGATAAGGGAGTGTGGCCTGCTGCGATGGGCACCCTTTGTGGGGGCAATTCTCAGCAGCTGGGTGTGAGGCTTGGCTCATCTCTCTGGGCAGAGGGCAAAGACACCGTTTGGAGCAAAAGATAAAAAATGGAGAAAGTATAATGAGGATATTCCAGCAAGAGCCGAGTTCAGCTCAGCTGGAGCAGAACAGCTTTGTTTTGCAAGAGCCAGTGCTTTTCCAAAAGCAGTGCTTGTTTTTATTTCCCCTTCCTAAACAGACAAACATTTGTGGACTGCAGTGGTGGTTGCAGTTGCTTCTGGAGCTGTGCATGTCATTAGTACAATATTCTGTCTTCAGAGGGCTCAGCAAACCTTCAGTGCAAATCATGACTCACCAGGATAATCATCTTTTGTCTGTAGGCATGTGTGTGCATGTATTTGCAGAGGAAGGGAGGCAGAGAGGCTAAGGGAGCTTTTGAAGGCTGCAGACAGTAGGAAGGGAATGCATGTATTCCTCTCTCAGCCTCACCTTGCTGCCTCGGACTGTAGATGGAGCAGTGCACTGCTGTTCTTGGCGCTGATGGGGATTTTGAACTCCTTGCTCATTAGTATTTCTGCACATAGCGTCTGTTTGCAATTTTGTGGTGTTAGAGAGGAGGGTTTGGCTCTGTATTGGGTAATGTAGGGTCTTTGTTGCATCTTCTCTTATTTTAGATCTGAGCAGCACATCTGAGCTATTTCAGTGATCTTGAAGGAAGGCAGAATGATCCTCTGGAAGGACACTGGTCTGGGAACTGGCCAACTTGAGTTGCATTTCCAGCTTTGCCGTTCTCTGGTGTGTAACGAGGGGCTTGTTGCTTAACCGCTCTGCACATGTTTAATTCTAACTTAAACAGAGCTGATCGTGCTCAGCCTGCTTTGTAAGGCTCTTTTAGATCGCAGTTCAGGAAGCACTGAATGTTGTCGTCGAGTTACTTGCCGAAGGACAAACGTAGACAGGAAAGGGTGGTTTAACTCTGTGTGCTGTCCCACTGCTCTCGTTCGCCAAGATCTCTTCCTGATCCTCTCGTCTGAGTCCTTTTTGATGAAAGCAGCTAACGCTTGCTGTGCATCTCTCCAACAGTCTATGGGCTGGCAAGGAAAGGAGATGCTGAAGTACTAGCTTGCATTGTGTGGGCACCTGCCCTCAATTGTGCTGTTCATAGAGCACTCAGGTTTGCACTAATAACGCTCAGCAGGTTCCACCCTGCTTGTCAAGTGCCTTCTTTAATATGAATGGTTCAGGCATGTCTGCGCAGAGGACTTCCGGAGGCTGATGCTCATTGAGAAATCCAGGCTGCGAGATAAACCTGTTGTCTTGTTTCCAACCTGCCTACCGCCATTGCCTGCGTTTTCCCTTTTTGTAGTGCTGGTGCAGCCTTCCACGGAGCTGCTGTGCTGAGAGCAAAACAGCATCCTTTGAGGAACATGCCTTTCCCCCTTGTTTTGTTGAATATAAAAGCTGACAAATGGCTGTGCTGCGGTGGCTTCTTGTTCTGGCATGCAAGTTTCAGCTTGATCTGCTGCCACAGCCTGGTTTGTTCTGCACCAGGACGGTGAAGGTGTGGGGCTGAGGAGGGGAAGTTTGGGGTTGTGTTGGAGGGTGGGAGACCTGCTGTGAAGTGATGCTTTGGAGCAGTTTGGTGAGGAGCTTTAACAGGAGAAGCTAAGAGGAAAGCCTCATTGCTTTGTAGCAAGGGCATTCAGAGTGGCTTTGGTCTGTGTTGCTGTTCCCCTGAAACCCCTTTTTAGCAATCAGCTATAATAAAATATTCTTAACTAGATGAGTGGTGACTAGTACATGTGGCTCCCAGTAATGCGAAATCCACCATGCTTTGTAATAACGTTCTAATGCCTGGGGTATTTTGCCTAAAAATAGCAAGAAAAGGATGGCTGTTAGGGGTAATCTAAATCAGAAGGAAACAAATGGCTTTTAATCTTTCCCTCTGTTTCAGAGTGAAGGATGCCGAGGAAGAAGAAGCCCACAGAGGGCCTGGACTCTCGAGGTCAGGATGGGGAGGAAGAGGAGGAAGAGAAGAGGAACCAAGCCAATGCCAAGAAGAAGCGCAGTTTTGTGGATGCGTTTATTGTTATATCTGACAGCGATGGAGAGGTCAGTGATCAGCTTGTGGTGTCCAGAGCCTGTGCTGGGCCCTGCTGTTGCAGGAGAGTGCCCGAGCATCCCATGCTGTATGTGCCGGGGTCAGACTTTGCACAGAGAGTATTGTGCTGTTCCTTTTCTTACATATGAGATGAATCAAATCCTATTTGACTAGGAAATGAATGGTGTGCTTCATGAGGGTGAGTTATGAGTCTGGGATTTGATAACCAAATCCTCTCAGAACTGAATTTGAAACGTAATTTGAAAGTAACCTTTCCTCAATCTCTTTACAAATCTTTTTTTCATAATTTTTATTTGATTGATTTCCAGCTAAACCATAGAAACATGATTCTGTATTATGTGGAAATAGATAAGAAAATGATTCAGAACACAGGCTTGTGAGTAGCTCAGACACAGCTGGTGTCTGGTAAACTGATCCTGAATTACAGAAGCCTGAGTTTTTAGCCCACTTCCATAGGGTGTAAAGGCGAACTGCAGTGTGGGTGTGCCTGGATAAGACATAAAGGCTCACATCAGTGATCCTTAGCGTCATTGTACAAACATCAGCCTTACCCTAAAAGATTGAAATGTCTGCGTCTGTTACGCTGGCATTGGGATGAGTGCAGGAACTCCTGCCTGGGGAAAACCCACAGCCCTGAGAATCTGTCCTCAACTTAGTGAGGTACACGAGAGGAAATTATTAGAATCAATTTTTTATGTATGACTGTTAAGGCTTTGCTCTGTCTTGCTGGTGACTGGGGATCCTAAGCTGCTTTTTGTAATTCCACCATTTTCAAAAGCATTTCAGTTTACTCTCAAGCTGTAGATCTTAAATCAAGTCCCTTTCGCTCCCACATCTGCAGCATGCTTCTCCTCAATAAGGCGATTATCATGTGAGGAGGGGAAAAGCACTAGAAATAAACAGTAAGAAGCTGTAGGGCAAATGATATTGGATGTTTTTTCTTCACATTGTCTGAGTTCTTTCCCATTGGGAAATTCCCTGAAAGAAATGGAACATATGGCAGTAATAGTTCAGTGGGGTTAAACCCTTAGCTCTGCAATATGCTAAGTTAACTTCAGATGTCTGCTGCATCACTGGCCTTTATTGTGAAACCTATAAGGAAAAAAGAAATCGGCAGCTATAAGAGCTGCTGCAGTACATAAAAGATCAGGACCTGTTATTGTCTGCAATTATTCATCTCAATGTGCACGTATCTGAAAAAGAGGAAACAAACGTCTCTTAAAACACATCTATAAAAAGGTTAGGCTCCCTGACTGTTCTGTAAGTTTGTCTATAAACAATAAATTCTGATGGCATAATCGGTCATATTACAGAAAAGGATATGCTCAGAGAGGCCGTTAAAGAGCCAATTAGGTTCTGTTTAAGTGACAACAGTTCAGTCAGTTGAGTGAGTGGATTTATTCAGTTCAGTCTCTTTCTTTCTGTGAGTCATCAGCTTCCAGATCCAGTGCCACAGTCTCTTGTCGTGTTGTTTTCTGCAAAATCAAACCCAAAAATGTGATTTACTTGGAATCTCAAAAAAATAACCGTCTGGCTTCTGTAACTGTCTCAGCTCTTCAGTGTACATCAAGTTGAATTTCAATTTCGAACCTTGTAACTGTTGTTCTTGCTCTAGTAAGACCTTGTTATGTGTTCAAGAAGAGGTGTGGGAAGCTCAGATCAATAGCAATTTTAGAGAACAATACATTCTCAATTAATCTTGCATCTGTTAGGACATGGTTCCTTATGAATCAAAAGCTACAAGGACAATTTGGGCATCATTGATTCGATGGCTTTCTTCCTTGGCAGTCTCTTGGCAGGTATCTATAGAACAAGTCCCTAGTTCTGCTTCCAGACCAGCAGATCTTGTAGCAGCTGCACCTGGAAAGCCTCCAGCTTCTCACTTTTGATGATCTTTGGCAGACTGCCTCTCCCAGGAATTTTTCAGTCATGCTGGATTATCAAGCTCATCCATGTTATTTTGCCAAGTTTTCTTTCTTTGCTCGTGTCTGTGCTGTGGCATCTGCAGAGCTGCATCAGAAGGAAGTTTTCTGGACATGGGGCTTTCTGATCTCTGCTGTGTATAATCCTGGATTCAGGAAACACTACTCTTTTTTTGGGAATGGTCAGACAAAATAAGAACAGTCTCTCTGGCTTTGTGGAAACAAGAGGAGATGACCTTCTTTCTGCAGACTGTGTCTCTGAAACACAGACATGACAAATGAGCAAAGTGGTTCATGTCTTCCCTGACTGTTTAAATCCTGCAGGGAATTGGTTGCCCATGCCAGAAGATGGGTGGTCATTTATAACTACACAATATTTCAAACAGGAAAGCTCTCTCCAAGCATAGCAACCCCTGGTCTGTCTCATGAGCCTCCTTCTTGAATTGGGCCGTTGCTAAAGACTCTTTGACCCCCCCCAAGGTTTTCTGAAGCCATGTCTGAAAGGTGATTGTCACCCAGCAGGAAGCCTGGCCAAGCGTGAGCATTGAGCACAGCCAGAGGCCCAGTAGTTGTGCTAACCTGTTTGACTGACGTGCAGCCTTCAGTGCAGTTGATCCAAAATGCTACTGATCTGCTGTGGGACCTTTCAAAGGGTCTGGTTTTCCTGGGTAGATCCTTTGGGAGCTTTGAGAGTTCTTGCCTCCACTCATAGAGTTTGCACGAAGTCTCACAGGCTCTTTCTGCCAGATTCATCAGCTCTGCCAGCCCTTGGGGAACATCACAGGACTCCAGGGTGACAGTGCCATCTATTTCTGCATGGCATCCAGGGCCTGTCTTCCCTTTGGTGTGGAACATCCCTTTGCCTGAGTATTCCTGTGCTTGGACATACGGTCTGGGTAAATGGCAGCATGTGTTGATGTTCCAGATCATATGGTCTTGGTGGGAAGAGGGAAGTGTGTTTGGGGATCGGACACCGCCCTGTCCTGTTCTCCATCGACTGTGGCAATGGGCGCTTGTGGCATGGCCTGAGAGACATCTTGCTATGGCGAAGATGGTGCTGGAAACGTCACAGCTAGGATGGTAGTGCCCACCTCACACTGATGACCATCTGAGCGAAGCAGAGCCACGTGGGAGTATCGCTGCAGCACCCCGCTGTCCCCACGGGCTCTGCTGTGGTACCGAGGGACCCAGTGCCTCCAGCTCCCAGAGGAAAAGGCAGTGCGAGTGCGCTCCCAAGGAGGCTCAGCAGCTCTGCTGCGCTCGGTCCTTGGAAATCAGATTGGTCTGAATCCAGGCTCCTCGCAGCCTGGTAAAAGCCCTTTTTTTCTACAGAGGCCTCCCTCCCATGTGTCAGGAACTACATGTCTGGCACAAGCCCCATTGTGTCTTGTTGTTCAAGTCTCCACTTCCAGCAGGTTTGTTCTAATGAGCTGAAAGACAGAGCAGAGCTGAAGCAGATTCTGAACTGAAGTCAGAGACTAATAAAGTAGGGTCTGATACTAATTTCAGCAGCAGCCTTGGCTAGGGCCAAATGTGGCACTTCCAACATCTAATTGGCTTTTAAAAATAAATTAGTCTGGTTTGCATCTGCATATTTCCCATGCAGGATGTGTAGTGTTTGGCTATGCCCTATTGTTAGATGGTCCCAACTGCCATTGAGCAGTAAAATTACCCAGACCTTTTGACTTTGCAGTCTGCACTGTTAGCTATGGAGACATTCTTCTGTAGCCTCTCCTTCCCTGAGTCAGTAGAAGCTGTGGTTTATGATGTGGATTCGAAGGAGCAGGATGTGGGAGGCTGGCTACTGGCTTCCATTTACGGGCTCTTAGAAGCGAGTGGAGCTGTATCTGTTTCTGCTGGCAGAGTCAGGTTCTCTTAAGTATGTGCAAAAGCATTTTTAAAATGGGAATTTGATTTCCTGCTGTCTGGTGAAACCAAGCAGGTTAGAATATTGGCTGCCTTCCACTAAATGTGTAGGGAACTTTGGAAACCCGTCTTTTTCTTGATCTGTGTACAATGCTGACAGTGAAATTGCTCATAAGAGAGCATCATAAATTAAACTGCAGAGCCTGACACACAGGAAGAGAATTTGGATTCCTTCTGGCCATTATCTTTAAATTGACGGCAAAGGAGGAGAGACGCTATCCAGGCTGGCACTGAGCAGAGGTGCGCAGTTCCCACCTTGCCTCTGCTATAATAATTAGTTTCCCCTGGAAGTTGTGTGTTGGAGATGACCTTGTAACTAAGAGTATTGGCTGCAGTTTGGGAATATTTTAATTGATTAAGATTATTTTTGGACTAGTGATCTTATTAGAAAGGCAGTTGGTTGAGTGGCCCCCTGAGTTCCTATTATCCTTGTAGACAGATGAGCATTAAAAGGTTGGGTCAGAAAGAGCAAGCCCTGTTGTCTTCTCTGAATTTTCTTGGCCCCTTCTGTTTCTACCATCCATGCCTGCATTTATGCAGAGCACTCCAGGGCCTGCGGGGCTCTCTCCCAGCAGAGGTACAAACAGCCATAAATCCTAATTAAAAGGTATGTTTTATTTTCTGGGTTTAAAAATAAAGAAGATTTAAGAATTCTCAGAATTGAGATGTGTGTGTATATTTTGGCCCATCAGGATTAATTGGATTTGCTTCAGCGGTTCACTGTACCGTGGCTGTTCAGTAGAATGCTGCTAAGCAATTTAAACATCTTTCTCAAATGTATGAAGTTCGTACAACACGTGTCCTGCAATAATTTTGCTCCTGCCACTGTTGTAAACGTCGAGATTCTTCAGGACCCAGCACAGGGAACCGAGGCATGTACTCAGCTGTGCAGTGAAACCGGGCAGCCCGCCCAGCACTGCGCATGCCGTTCCCCTCCAAGCCCCAGAGGTGTTTGAGCCCGGTCTTGTCCTGTGGTGCATATTGTAACCGTGTGTCTGTGCACAGAGCAGACGCTGGCAGCCGTGTAAAGTTTGGTGTGCTCATAAATCACATCTGTGCCCTGGAAGAGAGCTGTAGATGAGAGTGTCAGGGCTGACCTTCCGGCAAGTGCAAGAGTGATGAGGGGAAGATTGATGCCTAGAGAGAAGGGCTGGGGATTTACAGAGCCTGCTAGGATTAAATTGCCCCTGTCTTAAGCTGGAGTAGGTTTAGCACTGTTGGACAGGGCTTTGGGGGAGAGCTGTTGCTTAACCTCATCCAGCATATAATCCTAGTGTGATCCTGATACGATCCTACAAACCGTTCCTCGCTCCCTTAGGTGTGAACTGCCAGCAAGGTCAGCATGGGGGCTGCTGCTGCAGACCAAGGCAGGGCAATTTGGAGTAGGATAACCTGTGGCTTATGGAAAACTGGAGAAGGGCGACATGCCAGGGCCCTAGAAGAAAGAGGGTTTCAACTGCTAAGCATGAGCTAGACAGGCTCAGAAGTAGACAGCATCCATCTTGTAGCAAGAGGGAATCTGGCTGTGAAGCAGCCTTTTGGAGATGCACGGGCAGACCTTGGAAACAGGGTACCAAAACCAGGCTGGGTGGGGAGGGGAAGGAATCAGTCAAAGGAAAAAACCCTTAGGTGCAAGCATGAGTGTGTGTGGGGACTTGCTGAGCATGATTGCTGCCTTGTTGTGAGCTGATTCTTATATCAGTGGAAGTGAGGAATGGTGTAGGTATTAGGGCATGTAAAAGCTGTAATGTATTAGGGTTTCAGGAAACCACTTAATAGTATGTCGTGCAAAATCTTAGTTGGATAAATAATTCAATTTGGTCTAGATAGCAACATTCCTGGATTGAAATCCTGCTAAAAGACTGTCAGCAAAAGCTGGTGATGAACAGAAGAAAGGCTCATTTGGGGGAGATGTAAAGCTGAGGCCAAGAGGATCAATATTAGGTCTGTGTGTGTTTTAACATCCTCATTAATGATCTGTAAGAGGGAGCAAGTGGTGTATTTACATTAATAAAATCTACAGATAACGCTAAAGCTGGAGATGTCTTGAACAAAACTCAGCGTAGAGGTGCAGTCCAAAGGACTTCACAGGTTCAGAAACAGGGGCAATGGATAGCAGGAATAGATTATGCTTGAAAATCAGCAGTGTATCCATTTGCATGAAAGTAGCCCAAGCCACAAGCACCATCTTGAAGCCCCCCCCGCCCTCCTGGCACAGGAGGTGGTATGAGGCACAAGCATGTGGCCAGTTTGCTGTCAGTCTCATGGATGGCAAAACCAACTGCAGCTGCGGACGGAGCCGTGTGAACCCCCTTCCTGGCCAGGCGTGGGTCTCTGCCTGAAACGTGGGGTTTGATTCTAATCCTACCTGATTTAGAGAGACAAATTGGAAGGGGTCCAGTGCCAGCCTTCGGTAATGTGTACGCCCTCGCTTAAGCCATTAGGACAGCAACTTGCATAAATGTGTGCCAATTAAGCCTGTGACCGTTCTTGTTGCAGTCGGTGTGCTTAAAGCAGCAAGCTCTTAGGTTGTTCGTGTGGGTTTTATTCTGGGAGGCTTCGAGACAACAAATTTCTGAAGTATTCAAGCTTTGAAAATGAAACACTTGCGGCAATACAATGAGAGAATAGCACCAGGAGTAGAGCTGGCTCTCCTGCCCTCGAGGTGCATTAGCGCGGGTCCCCAAAAATGGTGAGGATTCTAGTTTTGGTCACCTAAAATTGTCTGGGCAGAGTACTAGAAGCTGCGTGGCAGGAAACAGTCCTGGCTTACAGGTCTGCGATGTTCAGTTATAAAAAGGTTTTGTTTTTCCTGTTTTGAGTGCTTACAAATACCAGTGTTTTAGCAAGGCCAAACAAATTCTCTCTAAAATCATGGGCAGCAGGTGCAGTGCATGGTGGTGACTGGCATGAAGTCTATTGTCTCTACTACTTCTCTGTTTATGTCAGTCTGTAACTCTTTTTGCTCGTTATGCTTATCACACAGCTTTTAATAGTTACAGAATGTGCTTGAATTATGCTTGAAATTCAAATTCACACAAATAGAGGCTTGTTCTTGAACCAATGTTTGTGTCTGAGTAGTGGGGTGGAGGGGGCTGGTAGTATTTCATACATATTGTATGCACTCACTCTATTTTTTTCCATTACAGCAGGAGTCAAAGGAAGAGACTGGATTGCAAAAGAAGAGAACAAAGCAGCAGCTGGATAGAACGAAGTTTGCTGCTAAAAGAAAAATTGCACGTAGGTCTCAAGTGTGGGGCTGGGGAAGTAGACTGGTGCTGAGCAGCTTCTGCTGTTAGTGTTAGAGATTATTTCCCAGGCAGAAAGGCTGCGATGTGGCTGGGGATGCACAGCTCTCAGAGAAGACCCTTCTCAGGGGTAAAATTTGCCTTTCTGAATAGGCAGACTGTCACTTGTTTGCTCCCCAGGCAGCATGTGTGCAGACTGGTGCACGTCCAAAATAAGTGTGTGAGGGTGTCAGTACCTCACCGGGTTTCAAAATTGGTTGGAGCCGACCTGAAAGCACTGTCAGTCACAAACTGCTTTCCTGTTCAGGCCCCTCTGCTGCTGTCTTTCCTTGAAACGTCATGATGCTCTGACCCGGCAGTTGCAGCTCAGGAAAGATCTGAGTTGTAACTGACAGTTCTCTGAAACCATCGTCTCGTACCGCGGGGGCAGCCGGAGAAGCCAGCAACGTTGGGTATCATAAGGAAGGGTGTTAAGAACAAGAGATTTGTTTTACGTCATTTTGCTGTTATATAAAGTGTTGGTGCACCCACATCAACGGTGCTGTGTGCAGTTCTGGTCTCTGCATCTCAAGGAACACGGTGGAGTTAGGGGACATCTGGAGAAGGGCAACCCAAGCCAGGAAGGGGAGGGAGCAGCTGCATTATGAGGAGCACCTGGAAAGCCTGGGGCTGCTGCATTAGGAGAGGAAGGTGGGATCAAAGTTCACATCAGGAAGGCAGTGCCTCAGCTGAACCCAGAGCTGTTGTTTACCAGCTCCTACAGTCAGGGTGGAGTCGGTGGAAATAGCAGGCGATAGATGGGTTTAAAATGGGTGAAGGAAAGTAATGCTTCCCACAGCATGTAGTGAACTCCTGGAAGTTCTTGTCACAGGAGGTTGTGGAGGGGTCAGTACCAACAGCTTTAGTAAGGGATTAAATGCGTTCATGGATGATAGGTCTATAAACAGATGCTAAAGGGAACAGGCTGGGATGTTCCTGCTCATATTCTGCAAACAGCATTTCTGAACGCTGGGGATGTACAAGCAGAAGGGACCACTGAGCATGGCCAGGCTTGCCTGTACTCCCCATACAGCACCACTTGTTACAGCGGCCGGGCGGGTGGACCATTGCTCTGCCCCAGTAGATCAGCTCTCCTGTTCCTGTGCTCTGCAAGGTGGTGGTCCATCTAGCATGTTAAATTCAGAACGTTTTAAAATGGGAGAGATGTTGTCTCCTGCAAAACCCAAAGCAATCACTGAACAAAATGGAGCACACCGGTGTTCCACAAGCAGCAGCAGTTGGGCTTGTCAGTCCTCAGAGGGCTTGTGTGAATTAAATTGTTTTTAATAGAGGCCTAAGGCCATAGCATGAAACAGCCTGGCTCTTTGTGGGAGTTGAAACCCACTGTGCGTGTCCTGTGTCGAACAAGTAAGATAGTGAAGTCAGAGATGGAAGAGGTTTTTTTTTTTCTTTTTTCTTCTTTTTCTCCCAAAGGAAACGGAACACAAAATAAAAGCTGAACCCCCCTTGGAGATGCCATTAAAATGTGACCAAACATATGGTGCGAAGAACAGGGAGTTGCTCAAGTTGGGTGTTCTCATTGCATCGTTGAGTGCGCTGGGTTTTGGGAGCTGGTGCTGTGAGAAAGGTGTTCAGTGTGCTCCAGAAAATCCATGGGAGACAGGGCCAGCTCTCTAGTCATTGTATAATGGAGGAGTTTTGCTGCTTTTCTAGATACTGAAGTTCTTGATAATAGTTTTTCTCTTCCTGGGGCAAAAGCTGCCTTTTTTTTGTTTGAGTGTGCACGTCTGCCTTCTCGAAGTGTAGGAGGTTGGGGGTGCCTGGTGCCGCTCGGTCAGAGAGCGGTTGCTTGTTTAAGTATGTGTGATGGTGGGTCTGTTCTCTCATTTATGGGAAGCTATAATTAGACTTTCGGTGTTTGCTTTTAGGCAAATTAAGATTTGAAGTAGTAATTATTTTTCTCAGTTTCTTTAAATAAATTCTTTGAATTGCGAGGCAAATTGGTCTTTTGTAAAGATTCGGTGCTTCTGGGTAGAGCAAGTTCTTTCTCCTCAAAACTGGAAAATTTCAGATATTTGCAGGCTCTCGTTGTAAAGCGTATCCTCCCATTTTTGCTTTGTTGTGGTTTTATTCATTTTAACCTAAAGCCATAACTAAAATATATCTGTGACGTTTCATCCTGACAAGATAAATGGAAACACAAAACCTACAGAAGTCTCTCTCTTTTTCCGGAGGAAGTCAGTGCTTTTAAAGCACATTTGAATGTTTTTACTGTAATTGCACTTTGGATATGTGGAAATACTGAGATCCCACATTTCCATTATTTTTGAGTAAATCTCTTATTAGTAAGTGTTAGAACTACAACTAGTGGGGTTTTGCATCTAATTCACTTTGCAAATGTCAAAATGGAACATAAATCGCTTAGCAAATTGCCGTATTAGCATTTAAAAAGGCTCTGAAATGGTTTAATTTGTTTAGGGCTGCAGTGTCTTAAAAACAGTTTCTCTCTGACCCCTCCTTTCCATCTGTGGGTTTCTTGGATGTCCTGGTCCCCGGAGAGGCACTGGGATTTCATGCTGTGTTTCGGATGGACGTGTGGCGAGTGGATATTGGAGTGTGAGACGCAGAATTCCCAGCTGGAGGTGCCGGCACTTCCCTAGCCGGCAGCGGGGACGGGCTTCTGCGAGGCGTGCTATGTGTGTGAGCTGAGCGTAACGCAGTGTGTCTGTCCAGACGGAGAGGGGTCCCCCAAGGGTTGCGGGAGCCCCTGCCCTGCCGGCATGCTCCGGGAGCATGGCTTGCCTCTGCTGCACGCTCAGTGCTCGCTCCCAAAGCCTGTTTGCGCGCACCGGTTGGGGGCTAACGCAGCACTCTGGATTTCTAGTCATGGTAAATTATGACCAGTGCAATCAACATCAAGTTTAATAAGATGCACGGTGCTGAGAAATGATCAGATGTGGAGCACAAAATATTGTCAGCTCCGGACTGCTCAGCTTAAAGCAGGTCAGGTCTTCTGGAAGGCGTGAGCAGAGCTGCTCTTTGCTCTCCCCACCGTAATGCCAGGTGGATTTCAACTCGAGATTTCCTCGTCTCTGGAGCACCTACTCAACTGGAATGTGCACTAAGTGCATTTTGTTTGTCACTGGTTTCTTTGCCAGAGGCAGCATTTGTCTGGCACATTCCCTGTCCCCAGAGGGGAAATTGCTGTGCCAGGGAGGGAGAAGAAAACAAAATGTACAGTAGTAACTCGCCAAAAATTTTTTCTTTTTATTAAGCTTCATGGATGTTGATAGCCTGAACTGGTGAACACTCAGGCCCCCGTTTTAATTTATGCACGTGGAAAGTCTTGTTTTGTGGGGCACTGATCATGTGCACTGGGGTTTTTTTTGCACATGTCAGAGTTTGCAGGATCTGGCCTGATTGCTGTGATGGTTTGGGCAGGGAAACAAATCAGCACTTGCTTTCTGAATGCTTGGGAGGTGTTTGGTATTGTGGAAATGCTGTGTATTACTGCCGTTCTTTGGGACAGGAGCTGCCTTCATACACTGGGCTGTCTTGTGCTTTCCATTAAAGGATGCTTTTTTTTTTTTCCCCGGTCCCTCCTGGCTGTAACATCATAGCGTGACTTTGTCCAAGGACAAAAGATCCCCACGAGCCCTGAGTGCACTGCAGTCTGCCTTCACTTCAACCTCTTTCTTAATTTTTAAAGAAATTAAAAAAAACCAACCTAAAGCTAAGTGCTGATTTAGTAGGACATGTAAAGGAATCTACGGCTGGTAATCAGAACAGTCCAAAAATGCTTCAAATCCTGCTTGGGTGGGGGAGAACCAGCCTGCCATTAGCAACGAGCTGGGGGAAGGGCAAAGCAAAGCCTGCTGCTCTGTGGATGCACCTCAGTGCAGTCGTGCCGTGATGCGCAGGCTGTGCAAGACCAGTGCAGTCCCAGGCTGCTTCAAGGGAGGCTGTGCTGCTGTATTTTGGTCGCAGCTGGTAGGAAGAGGATGGGTTAGAAAATGGGAGCCTGCAACTTCTGAATGCATCTTTATCTGGGGAAATGTCTGTCTCTGAAACTGGCTGCAGTGAAGGCATGTTTTGTGCTTGGCGGCCTTCCTGTTCAAATCGCGTCTCTTAAAGCTCTTCTAGCCCATCAGAGAGCAAGCCTTTTGGTTCATGCATGAGATGGCGCGTGCAGGATTCTGCCTGAAGGAGGGAGTGGGGTTTGAAGGAAATCTGTCAATTTGTTTCAAGTGAGAAGATGTATTTTTCAGCTCCTGAGAGTGCTGTTCAGTTGTTTTCCAAGCTGCACTCCATTCTGCAGGCATTGTATATTTTAAGCATAGTGAAAGTGTTGGATTGAGTCTAAGCAAATAAATGTTTTCCAAAGTAACGAATGGCTTTGTTTCTAAATAGCTAGTATCGGCTTCTGGTTTGCTCTGAGTGAGGAGTATTTCAGGAGGAAATTTTCTGCTGAAATACCAGTTACAACTGTAGGAAGCCTGTTTCCCATGCATGACTGACTTGGTGATGCAGTGGAGTGGTGATGTGAGCAGGAGGGGGATGTATGCATGTGAAAGATCCTCCATAATACCACCAAGCAAGTAACATTATCCTCCACAGAGCTTTCCACCTGCGGCTTGGGGTGAACATGTAGCAATTTTGCTCTTGGGTGGGTCTCCTGTGGTATTGCAGGTATCTGCATGTCAGAAGGCAGAGACACGTGCTCTTTGGCTAGTAAAAAAGTGTATTAAAGAAGAGGTGTTCTTTTCTTTATCCTGCCTTGCTGCTGAGCCTATCCGATATAAAATGAGCATGCTTTAGAAATCTGTCCTTTTCCTCTCTCCTTGAAGATGCATTCTGCAGCTGTAGAGTGTGGTGTTTGATGAGGGCAAATAAAATGTCCCATTGCAGTTAACATACCCAGGGAGTTGGAGTTTAGATTGCTGTAGAAACCTAACTGAAGTTCCTGACTTGGGTTACTTTTTTCATTTAGTGTTGCCTGCTCTGGTTTTGGTGGCGCCTTTTCAGGAAAGCTGGGGTTTAGATGTTATGCTCTGCATTCCTCCTGGGGAGGTGGGATCTCCCAACATGTGGGATATATGTTGGGTGTTTCCATACACCTGCAGCTGTGACTTGACAATATCCTTTTTCTTCTACTGTAGAGATGACTGAAGAGGAACAGTTTGCACTGGCCCTGAAAATGAGTGAGCAAGAAGCCAGACAAGTGAACTGTCAGGAAGAGGAAGAGGAGGAGCTCTTGAGGAAGGCCATTGCTGAGAGCCTTAACGTAAGTGTGCTTCTGTGAAGAGGCTTACTAGGGTTCTTCAGCAACATTGCTTTCTGCGCTTGCTTTGCCACACTGCGCAAGGGGGGGCCTAGCTCTTTCCAGGACAAGCTGGAACTACAGCAGTCACAGAGTAGTTGTTTTGTACCATTCCTAGTGAGAGGCATAGGAAGTCTAACCTCAGCTGTCCCCTGTTTTGGGGTACACAGTTCTGATCGAGGCGGGGGGCAGTGTTCTGCAGTCTGGGTGATGGCTGCCTGTTTGCTGGGGGAGCCCTTGCTCTGCTGATAGAGAATGAGCCTCTTGGAGAATCAACCTTTTGTTTTCCAGAGCTGTCAGCCCTCGGACTCCTCTGATGTAACCCCTCAGTTGTCTGCAGAAGCACTGGGTGTGCGAGGCCAAAGCCAGCCCGCTGAGAAAGAAGGCTCTGAGATCCTGGGAGGTCTGGCGCTTTGCCCTGACGCCCATCGCTCCAAGTGCAGCTCCCACTCACAGAGCGCCAGAGCTGATGGGAGTGGACAGATGGATGTCGCCCGGAGCCCCCTGGTAGTGTTGAGGAGGTTAAGCCAGGAAATTGTTGAAAGCTCACTAGTATCCAGCATAATCGTGTCTCCGGGGAAGGGCCAGCCTGAGACAAGGTCAAGTGAAAAGCCTTCCTCACTAGCAAAAAGCGATTCTAGTAACATGTTACCCAGCACTCTTGGAGACGACCTCATCTCTTTGAGTCCCACCTTTGGCAGGGTAACTTCAGGCTCCTGGCGACTGACACCTCGGAGACTGTTCACAAGCCCCTCCAGCTCTTCAGAAGCAACAGGCCACAAACCAAAAGAGCAGCCCCTGCCCTGCACTGGCCATTCTGTGGGAGAAGCTGGTGCCGGGAGCTCAGCCACGCTCTGGAAGAGCTGGACCGTGGAACAGTGTAGCAGCCTCAGGAGGAGTGGTGGAGGAGCAGGTACCGCACACACCTCGCAGCCCGGGCATGCCGCCAAAGTCTGTGTTTCCACAGAGCAAGCAGAGCAGAACGAGGTGCCCGACAGTACCGCTGAGCTTTGCGTGCTGAATGTGGCAGAGGAAAAGCACAAGCAGGAGGAGGCGAGAGACACAGTGCACTATTACTGGGGCATTCCCTTCTGCCCCAAGGGGGTGGACCCCAACCAGTACACCAAAGTCATCTTGTGTCAGCTGGAGGTTTACCAGAAGAGCCTGAAGCAGGCTCAGAGGCAGCTATTGCATAAGAAAGAGTTTGGTAACCCAGTTGTGCCCAGTTCTTCCTTGAGCCAAAATGAGCTTGGGAAAGGAGATCACCTAAGCAGGGAGAACGGGGTTGCTGATGATACAGAAGATGGAGACCCAGACGGGCAGAAGGAGTCTGAGAGCATCACCTGGCTCCTCCCTTCAAAGAGGAGGGAGGCAGAGAGTCCAGGGCACAGCATGGAAGAAGAGAAGAACTCTACTTCTGATGATGAACCGACCACCAGCTACCGCCAGGTAAGATCTTTGCCACTAAGCAGTGGTTGAACAGTCCTGCTCTTCTGTCCATTTTAGGGTTCAGTCCCTTCTGCAATGCAGGCACTGCTGTTTAATACTCCTGTTAAATTTAGGGACTTACCCTAGCCTCACAGCTTACTGTGAAAGGGAAAGGAAAAGCGTACAGGCTGATACCCAGCTCACAAATGGTAGGGGCCATCATGCAGCCTGGCAGTTGTCCATTAATGCACCACTGAGATAAAGACTTCCAGCTGACTTGTCCTTCTCAAAAAGGTGTAGCCTGGCAGTCTTGTCCTTCTCAAAAGGTTGTAGCCTGGCAGTGTGTCAGGGTAGCGAGCACAGAGATGATGCTGACCACCGCCAGCTCTGGCAAACCAGCTTATAAACCTGTGGCCATGTGGGGACCTCTGCATTTTCCTTCACAGACAGAAATGTGGCTTTTGTCCTTGCAGCGCAGCCTTTCCTTTTTGCACCTATATGCTTGTCTGCATCCGTACGTGCTTCACCCTTGCAAGTGCTCTTTTCCCTCGTGGTCCTGCAGTTGTGGCCAGGAGAGGCTCTGCGTGCTCCTAGGCGTCTTCTGCCTGCCCGGGGTGATCTGTCATCACGGCATTGCTCATCGTCCTTATTCTGGTGGCTGGGCACCTTCTCTCCCGCTTGCTTGTTGGGTCTGCTAGACGCTAGGTGTCAGCCTCTGTCTCTGTCAGGGCTCTCTTTTTGGAGCGGAAGGCAGCTTTCTGTCACTGCTAAGTTTAAACAGATTGCTAGTCAGATGAAGTATTTATTACTGCTGTATTTTAGGTTTGTGTCAGCCTTTTCCAACCCTCATTTTTCATAATGACTTCACTCCCGGATCATTGTATAACTTTATCTTCTCTATGACTGAAGCCTCAGCTCTGTTGTTCCTGTTTTCAAGTGTATTTGATCATTTACCCTGGTGTTAGAAAGATACTTAACTTGTTTTGTGATATTTATATTCTGTCTTGTAATATTGAACACTTAGGAAAAATGTCATGTCTGCATTTTCTGGTTGCAGAAAAAGTGCAGAGCAGCCTGTGCCGAAATGTGACTTTTCATGACAGTGCTTTGGCTTGGGTTTAGCAGATACAGATTTAAACAAGCCTTAGAGGTGACCTGCAGAGGAAAGAAACGGACGTGTGCCCTTTTTAATTTCCTTAGGATAGATACAAAAGACCTGAAAGGTTCTTAAGGCATACTGCTTTTTTTTTCCCTGTGTCTTTTCCTTTGAAAATGGAGGTGTCATTAATCTGGAAGATTGGGGTGCCCGCAGGTCTATGGAGGCGTACGCTAAAGCCCTTGGAAAGCTACAGCAGCTGGGAAGGGCATGAACTTTTAATCAGTACTGAAAATTGTGGGTTTTTTTTTTTTTTTTTTACATTATCTGTTTAATGCTAATACCTAATTAATTCTTGGGGAGAAAAGAGGTTTTAGTGGTGCTGAGTGGGAACTTGTAATGTACTCATCCTGACCACAAGAACTCTCTCAAAGCGCCATAATGTGTATGTAGATGTAGTCTTTCTGGTATTTTTAAGGTGAAAAAATAAGGAAGGGGGAGGGGGAGCAGACTTTAAAATTTCAACCCTAGCCCAAAATTTGCCAGTCTTTTATTTACTGGAGAGAAAATAATTTCTAAATGCCCTTTCATTTGCCTTATCACTCCCAGCTTGAGAGGTTGCTCCCTTCTCTAGCCTCTCTGTGCAGTCGCACACTGAGGCCAGTGCAGGTGATTTACTTGCAAGATCGATATGTTTGATGTTTGCTTGTGCCTTGTCTCCATTTTTTTCCTTCTATCAAATACAATTCCACCGGCAGTGACAAAGGAGGGGCCCAGAGCAGTTGTGTCCCCAGTATGCTGCATCGCTTGGAGACGCCTGCTGCCTGTACTGCGCTGGGCCTCCCCCAGTACCACCAAGGCTGCTTTGCTGGTGGGGACGGTGGGAGATTTTAGGCTGTGCTGAGGCTAGAAACCATCCTTGGAGACTCAAAGCTGTCCTTGAACAAGCCTCGTGTTGTGTGCCGTACCAGTGGAATGAAGCTGCAAATGCTGTGCTCAAGGGAGCCTGCCTGTACCCCTGCTTTGAAACCCTCACCTGGAGCGGGCAGAGACCTTCCACCCTGGCAGTGGCCAACTGCTGCGAGTGCCACCTGCAGCCAAGGGATGTTTGCACAGAGCAAATCCTGGTTGTCAGGAGATCTTATAGCCTGTGAACGTGCACTAACGAACTTCAGTGCTAATAGAATCAATTTCCTTCATAGCCTTTCAAATAAGGTTAGGGGACTCTTGGTCTTTAAAAGATTCAGAGGGAAAAGACCCAATTCTGGAGAGTTAAAGTCTGGTGACCTGAATTGATGTTATACCTTATAACGTGTACTAGAAACATGGCCCAGTATTCATGACCAGGGCACAGGCATTGTTAAGATATGCACAGCTCAGGAAAAAGAGAAATAAAAATAAAGGAGGAGGTGTGGTATTTTATGTTAATGATGAATTAGGCTGTGAAGAAATAAAGAACAGCATAGATAAAACAGAATATTTGGGGGTTGGAGTCACTTTAGGGAAATCTGGCCGGAGGCTTTGTTTTGGGGCTTGCTGGGGAAGTATATCAGCCATCCAGGAGTGGAGCTGATTGGAGTTGAAACCTATGGTGGAAATCAAACTCTGAGAGTTTAATAGACTCGAGGAAGGGGGAGGAAAACCCCTTGGATTTCTTTGAGAACTAGCATGAGAAATCATGGGCCTGACAGCAAGGACTGCTAATAAACCGTTGTAATTCCACCTGATTAGAGAATGGCAAGCGTAACGTGTACACTGAAGAAGAAGAAAGGGATCTGGGTAATGACTGGCATGTTAGCCTGACCTCGGCAGCACATAAGGCTTTTGAACAAATTTTAAAGGAAAGAACAAGTGGAGTTGTAGAGCTAAATGAAAAATGGGATAAAATGCACACGGATTTACCAGCTGTAGATTGTGCAGGTTAATCTGTTCCCTCTCTTTGATTGGGACAGCTGATTTTCCCAGTTATGAAAAATGCAACAGATCTTATCTGTACGAAATTTCAGAAAAGTACTTCTCGTGGTCAAACATCAGCTGTACCAATTGGTTAGGTCATCCCAGCTCAGGAAAACAGATTTTAAACTGGAGTAGGTCAGGGCTGCTGGGGTGCTTGAGGGAGTGCAAGGGGACACTGAAAACCTTGGATTGTTTAGCTCAGCGCAAATGGAGATGGAGAAGAGCTGTGGTTGCTGCCTACAAGTACATCAGGGTAGATATAGGAACAGGCAGAGGGTATGGAAGGTGATGGACAAGGTTGGCATGAGTGAATGGCCGCGGACTGTCCAGGAACATATCTAGGTAGCAAAAAGTACTGCCAGGCATTATTGCAAGGAGCTGCTGAAACACCTTATCAAAAGGAGTAATGGAGGTAAAAAGCTGACTAGTTCAGGATGGATACTTAGCCATTTCCAGAAAAAAGTACATAACAGATTGGGTGCAATGCCATGATGACCCAGCAGATCCCAGTTAGCTGTGTACGTTGTTTTATATAATATCAGAATTTTCCTTTCCAGGCCTCCCAGATGCTGTCTGCAGAGGATGTGCATGAAGATGGGGAACCCATGCAAATTGCACAGAGGTGAGGAGGGTGATATCAGAGCATGGGGCCCATGGGCTCGCTTTGGTGACTTGGGCTCTTCCAGTCTCCTTGGAGCCTTTTGGGGCACAGTCTCACTGGGGCTCGCTGCAGGGCCTGGCAGCAGGGCTTGCTGGAAAGGCTGTCTGCAGTCGCTGCTGTTAACATTCCCTAGAAATACATGGCTTTGGTGCAGCGTGGGAGAGAGGTGGGATACAACTGGGGAGAAGAGATCAGTTACTCTTGTTACTTTATAAAATGTGCAAGGTGCATCCTAGTACAAGTAGAAGGACTTGATCCTTGCCCTCTGAAGCTAATGTGACATGGTGCAGTAAAGCTGTGGAGATGGGTAGGTGAGCTGAAAGTGAGTTATAGCAATGTCATCACGTGGTCTGTCTGGGAAGGCACATAGGCAGCATGGTGGAGGGTTTACTGGATTTCTGTGTGTATTTTTATGTTCTTGCCTTACTGCTGAAGAGGAAAGAAGGGAGGAGGAAGCCAGACGGCACTGCCTATCAGCCAAAGATAGAGTGCAGTGCTCCAGAAAAGCCACTTCAGCAGATGACAGGTGTGGGACAAGTCAACATGATTTTCTTCAGATTTAAGCCTACTCCTCTTTTCCTTTTTTTTTCTTCTTCCTGTGGGATGCAATTCTGCAGCAAAGTCTCTGGGAGAAGAAGGGCAAATGGGAGAGGATTCAAGCAGCAAGTTACAAGAGAGGGCAGATAATGTCATGTTTTTAATTTGCTGGGTTTTATAATTTAAACCTGCTTTGGAACAAAACTGCCAACTTTCCTCTGATCTAGCAGCATTTGGCCTGAGCAGTTAATATCAATATGCAGAGTATGAAAATCCCTCTTGCTTGCACCTGTCTAACAAGCTTAAAGCTCGCCTTGGGGAGCAGGAGGAACCTGCGGCTGCAGTTGCTGCCGAGGCTGATGAGTCTGTGACAGCTGAAGTCTGAGCTTGTGTGCTTGCGTAGAAGGCACTGAGGTGTGTGCTCTGCAGCGCTGGCCTCCTGCCTGCTTAACGCAGAAGAGGCCAGGGCTGAATATGAAAGGAGCGGGACCTCTTTCCTTTGGTGTAGCTGATGGGGTTAGTTTGGGACATTCCACAAGCTGGCCAGGAGCTCCTGGCTGTCCCCCTTGGGGCCGGGGCGCACCTGGGTGCTGCGGCCCCTCCTTGAGCAGCTGGCACATCTGCAGCAAGGCAAGAAATGGCTGCAGTCTTCGCAGTTTTGTGCACATTAAGCGTTGCCATCTGGCTCCTGGTAATTTGCCAAGCGCAGTCCTCTCTTGGGTAAGGCTCAGGCACCCCGGCCGGTGGGCCTCAGCAGCGCTTAATAGGAAAACATGGCTCTGAACTGTCTGGAGGTAGTGAAGCAGTTTTAGAAGTGGCAGCAGTGAAAAGAGGCTGCTTTGCTTTCTGCGGGCCACTCTCCTCGATTGTTTTACGCTTTGTACAGAGCATGGTAGATTGGGGTTTTAATAAATGATTATAGGCTTTGTTACCAGCAGATAGTTGGTGTAGCAAGAAATGTGTTTTGACTTCAAATTGATTAGCCCATTTTATAAATGTCACAGCAAGTTGTTTTGTGTGAGTTCTTTTGAAGTGAGCCCTGATGTTAGACACAGAGTAAAACACGCTCAGCCTGGATTCATAACAAATGCTTTGAGATGCTTTATTTAGAGAGAAAAGCCACTTGTGATTTCCTATCAGAATTTTGTTATTTATCATAAATCAGCAGTGGCTGTTCTCTCCTCTCTAAGGCCTGTGGTTGAGCTTAATAAATCTTCTGTTTGTCGGTATGGGGATTCATGTTTTTAAAGTATGTTCTTGCATACTTGATCAGGCTAATCAGAAAGCCACGCAAAGCACGGAGTGTGTCAGCATGGGTGCCAGACTTACTCAGCAATGCCTGCCTGTTTCGGAAATACACTGTGCAGTGTAGGGGGAGGAAAAATAAAGGAGGAATCCGAAGGTCCAAACAAGAGGAGCAGTACCCAGTGCTGCTTGGAGGAACCGCTACACTAATGTTGTTAGGGGAAGCCTTGCCTTGTCTTGCATCCGTGCTGCTTCTGACTGCCATGCACAGCAATAAGGAAGAAAATTAGCAGTGTGAGGAGGGAGAGGGTAATGCAGGATAAAGCAAGTCTGTGTCTCTCCTCTCTGAGGATTTCCTTCCCCAGACAGAAGGAAGCACAGTGCTGGTACCTGCACAACTCCCAAGTCTTCTAAGAGTAGAAAGAATCAAGAGTCCCACAGTTGTGAGCAGGTATTTTTGCTCCCCCGACATGAAACAGTGACACTTCATGCCTTTTTGTCAAGGGCTTTTAGAAGAAAAAATGTTCCCTTTGGGGTTTTTTGCTTAGGACACCGTTTTATACCCATATTTTGCTCTTAATCCTGGTCATTTCTGGCTATCAGTTATTGACCACTATGGCATCGTCTGCTGTTCTGAACTGCGTGAGACAAGCAGGTGCGTGCTGTCACGCCTACTGGATTGGAGATTTATATTATATTTATATTTTGAACAGCATCTCCATGTTGACCCCACTTGGCAGTAAAAGGAGCCCAGATACTGCTACAGAAAACTCTGCTGAAGAAGAGATCTCTGTTTGCCCAGGTAAGAGGCACTTTAGAATGTTCTGAATTTTGCACTGAAAGTTACACACTTATAAAATTCAGAGGAAAGAAGAGAATTTTCAGATTATTTGAACAAAACGAGATTTTTTTTTTTTCCCCAGCTCTGTTTGTCAGGGCTGAAATTATCCAGGTAATTTTGTTTTGTTCCCTGGTTTTGGACCTCTTTCCTCTAAGACAGTTCTGTGACCAGTGATTGCTGGGGACTTGATGCTGAAGAGGCACCAGGATGTATATGGGTGTGGAGGGATCATTCAAAACAAGGCATCAGGAGTGGTCTCTTCAAGGCAATCAAGAAATTTTCAGATTTTTCAGTGTCAACATGTGTGTAAAGCATGAGAGCTGTAATAATTTTTGTCTTGTGTTAATTAAACCTGTTTGGGACCAGTGAGTTTTTCTTCCTCGGTCTCTCCTACCATGTTGGAGATCTTCCAGTTCAGGGTTTTAAGTGAAAAAAATTAATGAAGAGACTGCTCCTGTTCACGAGCAGCTGTAGAGAGAGAGAGGTCATGATGGTGCTTGGAGGCATATTTTGTTGCTAAGGAAGACGTGGAGGTCTAAAGAAGGTGTGACTGCGAGGCAGACCGTAGAACCAGAGCTCTGTTTGTCTCAATGTGAGGGAGAGCTCTATTCTTGCTTTGTCTCTATCCCAGCAAGTGTCCCACGCACTTTCCCTGTGTCTAGTCTCACTCCCCATGAAGCTGCAAAGCTGCGGTGGCTTTGTCCTCACACCACTGTGCTGTGACTTTTAACCCCTCATCCGGCTGTGTTGTTGCACATTGTCTGATAACATTTGTGGCAAGTCTGAAAAATGTTTTGGAACTGTGAAAATGCTGTTAAGAAGAAATGGGCTAAGTTACATCAATAAGTGAGGAGATAGTGTGGGGGCTGCAAACCTGTGCTGACACAGAGGTGTTTTTCTGCAGAGACCCAGACGAATCCACTGGAATCTATTGAGGCAGAGAGAGAAGAGCTCTGTTCGGGCAGCAGAGATGCACCTATGCAGGTAAAAGAGCCTGAAGTTGGGGAAGGGTCCTGTTTTCAGTCCTGCCTTCTAGACCTTGGTTCAGCTGGGCTGTGCTAGCATTTCCGCTTGGGTAGCTGGGAGCTTGGGCTTCTGCTGTTGGGATCCTCACAAATGCTTCCCTCTTCACTTTTCTCCACTGCTTCATCACTCCAGTCTCTTTTGGCTGGGAGCTGTGTGCAGCTGCCTCTGGATCCTTTCAGTCCTGTAGCTGGAGAGTTGTTATCAGTACCAGCTCTTTCTTTTATACCATGCACACTGCTGCGCTGGAGGATGCCATCAGTGGGGACGGCAGCGCTGTTGCTTCTCCAGGCTCAGAGTGCTGTGATGGTCAGCGATGCAGAGGGACCCCAGGAGCTGTGAGGGGAGTCCTAGTAAATCTCAGTCACTCTTGTTGTGACACGCTTTACTTTGTTACAGTCCTCTGAACTTTGGTGTTTGCTCTCCACAGACCATCTCCAAGAGGCTGAGAGGGGAGGTTCACCCAGAGAGACTGGCCTGGGATAAAAATGACATTGAAGTGTTGAGGGCTGGTGGTGGTTTGCAGTCCAAGGAGAGTGACCTGAGCCCGGGAATCTTGATTTTTGTGCAGTAATAGTTAATAGCAATAGTAAGTCAGTGACAGGGCCATCCTCTTACCTCCCAATGCAGATGTGCGCTGTTGTGCAGCTCCTTTCCCTGCGCTGTCACACCTGCGCAGCAGTTGCTTTGCAGCTGTCGCTGTACCGACATCTGACTTCAGTTCCTGCTTCTGATAAAACTCCCTTTGTCTATTAATTTAGAGAGCGATATCAAAGGGGTTGCCAAGTACTCCTCTGGCAGGGTACATGAATACAGAATCGTACAGCTCTTGACAAGAGGATTCATTTGTGGAAAGCTCATTCTGGGAGTCTGCAGCTTGTACAGTGTGTCTGCAGCTCCGATGTCTCATTGTCACAGGCCTCTTAATAAACCAGCTTCTGCTCTCGTGTGCCTTTCATTCTGCAGGTATCTCAAAGCACTGCTCAGTCAATTAGAGACTGCAGCAGGGAGAGGCAGCAGTCCTGTGCTGAGCTGGGGAGCCAGGGGTGTGCGGTGTGTGTTTGTGGTGGTGTGGTTAGCCACAGCCACCGAAGCACGTTCATGACCCATTTGTCTGTGGCCAGGATGCTGCCCTGTCCTTCGTGCTTTGGAGAGGGTGCCCCGGGTCTCACACCTCCGCCTGGACGGCACAAGGCGATCAGCGCGGTGTTCAGGAGCAGTGCGGTGGGGCTTCCTAGGGATTACTTGACAACATTATTGCTGGCAGCAGGTACCAGTCCGGAGCCTGCAGCCCTCCAGGAAGACAGCAGAAACAGCTAACGTGCATCAGCGGTTAGCATGAAGCGAGCGCAGACCGCTGGGACTGACTTCTTCCTAGCAGGTGCTGAGCCAGGACACAGGAGTCTTGTTGTTGAGCTCAGCCTCTAGCATTGCTCTTGGCTGGCTGTTGGCTGCAAGTACTATGTCTTGTAGGCAATTTCCTCTGCTAAAGAGGAGAGGCAACAGTCTCTGCCTCTGACAGGGGTGATTGGTTCTGCAGTTGAGGTTTTCCAGGCTGTTACAGCAAGGTTTTGTACAAGCAGTTTTGGGACCGTGGTGTCTTTTGTTACAGAATGTTGCGTTTCCACTTAAAATTAGTAATTTACCACTGAATGTAGGTGGGCAGGGTGTGCAGAATCGGTGATCTCCTAAGATTGCTTTAAAAATGGCAGCTAGAAGGAGCAGTGCCTGCTGCTTTTCCCATCATATTTTTTACATGTGTTGTCTGACTAGGATAATGCAGGTTTGATCTGATCATTCATATTTGACACATGTTGTTTTTTATGACTCTTCTGTGTGACGCCCCATGGTGAGGACTTCACAAGATGTAGTGACACTGAGATGTGAGAGCAGGGTACGAGTGCTAATGCTGTAAGTGATGTACTTCAACAGCCTGTGTTCGGCTGGAGGAACTCTTCTGGCAACTCCTCCGCAGAAATCCAGGGCAGAGAGCCTCCCTGGAAATGAGAGGTGTTCCTGGGGCTCGGTGCTGTAGCCTTTCAGCCAGCGGCTGGGAGAATTGTGTTTTGTGAGGTGGATTCTCAGTTTAAGGCCCAGTCCTGCAATTTTTAGCATAGCTCCTCTGAGTCAACAAAGCACCCTCCTTTCCTTTAGGACATAAAAGTCAGGATCAGACCCTCATTTGGAAAAGCAAGTAATAAACTGTGTAATGCGACAGAGCGCTCCAGCGGCACCGAGCATCTTGGCTGACCCCAATTACTGCTTCCCTGAAATTATACTGTCGGAGGGAAGCAGACAGCAGTTTTGCTGCATACTGTCTACATGTCATTGCTTAGCCCTAAGAACAGAAAACTCTCCTATATTATTTTCCTATAGGTTTCTTCTGCATGGCTAATATTTAAATAACTTTTTAATCATTGAGGGGAAGGTTCTTTCTTAAATGTGGAGAAATATTGTAGCAAGCCTGACTGGGCAGGGATCTAGTTACAAGTGAGATGACAGCAGTCTGCTGCGTCTTGGGAACATCAGTAGCATAGGGAGAAGGCTGTATCTCTGCGGGTGGGTAGTGGAGCACCTTTGCAGCTGTGTAACCAATGCAAAAAGGGAGTGTCAGTAAGTGGTAATGGCATCTGGAGAACAAACACGGGCTGTGACATTTTGCCCTGGTGAAAAGCCACTGCTAGTAATTTTGTGTGACACGGATTTTTAACAGTATAGCCTCTCTCCTTGATCTGTGTCCCCTCTGATGACTGCTCCAGCCACCTCCTCTGGAGAGGAGGAGCTTCCCAGTGATCTCTCCGGACTCTCTAAGAGCACAGCAGCCTCCTTTCATCCTGGGGGAAGCTGTGTTCCCAGACAGTGCTGCCTGTGTAGCATGGATCATGTCCAGAAACTGATGAGCACAAGTCAGGTGTTGAACTCTTGCTTTGCCCCATGAATTTTCCATCAGTTTCGCTTCTGAGCTTTCCTGATTAATGGAAGCTTTGCCATTTTTCCGTGGTAGTGCAGGTGATGTTTGCCTTAAATGGTGTGCACGGCTGTGCAGGGAGGTTTCACCATGATTCAGCAGGACATGTTGCCTTTGGAGGAAGAATTAGTTATTAGTGCTGCACAGTTTACTCAGCCAGTGGTGTTATTTCTGACCGGTATTTGATGAAGGGAGAATAAAACTTTCCAAGAAAAACTGAGTCTATGGGAGGGTGAGTAGCTACCAGACAGCACGGAGCTTTGCACCTGGCAAAAAAAAGAGAAACAGCACAATTAACTGTCTGGCTAATTTTTTCTTCTTCTTCCTTAGGCTGGTGGAGATGAAGATGCTGGCAGGACTGTGTCTGAGTGCAGTCCTACAGCTGCTGACCATGTGTCGTGCCCGCTGTGTGACCAAGGCTTTCTAGCTACAGAGATCGAGCTGCATGCCATGTACTGCAACGGCATTGTGGGAGAGGAGGCTGGCGAGGACAGTCCAGGTCTGCCAAGCACTGCTTCTGTGTGTTTGCTCTTTGTTTCTCGTCCCCCTTCCCTGTTACTTGTGGCCAGGTGCTGCAGTCTTGTCCCTGTCAGGATATTTGGTGCATGGTGTGGCATGTAGGGAGATTTGTTCACCCTGCCTTGTTCCCTCTCCAAGCTGGCCAGGAGAGTTGGAGGCTCCTGTGTTTCCAGCACCGCCTGCACAGAGACATCTTCTGTCTGATTGACTTCGTAATTCAGCACACTATTAGTCCCTTGGAAAGTGTATAAGCCAAATATTACCCCAGGATCATGCTTCAAGCAGTACTCATAAGACATGTCTATTGTGTGTTTTGTGAGGACCTGCAGAGCATCTGCTAGTGGTAGAAAATGGCAGGCTCCTGAGCCACGCAGGTGAGCATCCTTCACGGCTCTCGAGAAGGGAGAATGTTCTGTACCACTCCAAGCGTGGCCTGCATTCTGCAATGAGTCTGACATTTGTATGTGCAAAAATGGCTTGTTCAGCTGCAAGAGATTGCAGAAAAGTTTCCCTCTTGTTCCTCTAAAATTGCAAAATGATAGCTATTGATCTGGGAGCTTGGATTTTTCTTCTTCATGTGAAGAGTGAGGCATAGAAGCACGGTCAGAATGCCCATATTAATCCTCTTTGCAGTCTTCTCCCTATCAGTTTTCTGTAGCCAACCTTTGTAGAGCTTAAGTGAACAAATACACTGGCTGGTTATCAACATATTCAATAAGTTATGTTTTAGCTGCTGCTTGAAATGTAAAGTCTATGTTAGCACAATGTCAGGTAATATCAAAGTACTAGCTTGTAATAAGATTAACTTTTCAGGTTGTGAAGATATAATTTTCAGTTACACACTGGGTTATTAAATGCAACCTAAATCTATGGTGTTTAAGCAATTTGAGCAAATCAGAGCTAGTACAAGAACTGTAACTTCTGCATTCCTCTAGCAGGAGGAAGTTTCATCATGTAATCTTAATGCACAGTTGATGTAGCTTTAAAATACAAGGTCCCTGTTATACTAAATCTTCGAGGATATGACATGGGTCCTGTCAAGATAACAGGAGCCAGAGTAGGGGCTGCTTGGTACTGAATTTTGTTGGGGAGTTCTCTCTGCAGGCACAAACCAGCAAAGTGTTCAGCTTGGGCAAATCACAGATGGTCACAGTTCCTCTCCCATCCTCAACACTGATAAAGGTCTTCTCTGCGCTACAAACGGAGCAGAATTTTTAGTATGTTTTTTGCATGAATGTCTTTGGCCCTGTGGTAATCAAGTCCCTGGTGCGGCTGGACTGTGGGTATATCCATTGATCCTGGGGAATCCTGACTGTGATGAGGAAAAGGCTTTGAATTCTTTGGCAGTGCGAGGAAATTTGTTCTTTCCTTTGGTGTTGTTTTTTTCAGAGTTCAAGGCTGGCCTTTCCACTCTGCTTCCAGACTGGTCTCCTTGGGGATGTTTGTAAGGGTAGTTATTTTGGAATTGCTACTCTGCTGTTCTGGCTTGTTTGGAACAATCCCCCTGTAAGAAAACTAGCCTGGAATAAAAGGGATTTTGGTCTACAATAATGGCTCTAAGCAGAGCAATGGTTTTGGGACAAAATCACAGTAATTTGGGTTTTCTATTGCCAGTTATTCTAGTATTTTCACTGTAGACACCAGGCTTCATTAGCCGTAACAGTCTGTGACGCCCGTGTTGCTTGCACCAAGACTCTTTGCAGGACTGCAGGCATCCTGGACTTGGAGCAGCACATACGTGGGGCAGAATCCTGCCTGCCTGCTGGGGCTCTGGCTTGCGGGGCACCTCGGTCCGCTTCCCAGCCGCTGTACAAAGGCAGCAGTCACCCAGAGAGGTCTCAGCTGATGGGCTGGTCAGTGGGGTTTGGGTTGCATAGGCAGGGATGATGTTTAGCTCTGAGCAGAGGCCGGACAGTAGCCTGGCACAGCTGTGCAGGTACAAAAGGACTCTGTTTCCAGGGCTGTTACCTTGGCATCCATCACTAGCACAAAATCCATAGGTAAAGCTAATACATGGGGAGAAAAAAGAGGTGGGAGAATTGTCTTCTGAAGCAAATGCCAGCTCCTGCGTGGGTCCAGAAGCTGTTCTCTACCGCTGCAGCACTCTGTGCTCTTGGCTGGCTGCTGGCTTCCTCGAGAGCACAGCAACAGCCTTGTGTGAGAGAAAATCAAAGTTCTGCCTTCTAAGTCATGTCCTGATCTGTTAAGAAAAGACGGCTTCAGTTTTCCTTTGGTGCACTGGGTCAGGGGTTCCTGGTCGGTCTTGAGACTTATTAATTGGATTTACTCCTGATGTCTCTAGAATTGCAGATTATGCCGTTCTGCAGACTATAGCTGTCAGTGTTTTTTGTTTTAAAATTACAAAAGGATGGGTTCTTGCTGGTTTTACTTCTCTTCTTCCCTCTTCTAATCATGCACTGAAGTCTTTCAGTGTTACGTATCAGGAGGCCAGCTCAGTCCAGTTGATATTTAAGG